TTTTGCTGTTATTTGTGAGAGACAGCAAATGCATTTGACACCTGTGTACGACAAAGATAAGCAATAAATTACAATTTGGTAATTAATGACATTTGGTTTTCAAATTTCATTGTTATTTTTTTGGTTTGTTCTACTCGTGTTCGCTGTTTTTAAAAATGGGTAAGCGCTTACAACGGACAACAGCGCAGCAATATGAAGAGCTTTTCAATTTTGTTAAAGAAAACCGGATTTTACTAACGGGTAAAACAAAGCCCAGCGAAGCAAAAAATATAAATATTTTGTGGCAAAAATTTGCTAATTTTATTAATTCTCAACGAGAGGGACCCGAAAAAACTGGAAACCAGTGGAGAAATGTAAGTTATTTTTGAAAGACATTACATTTTTGCAATATGTTTTATTAATATAATTTTGCATTGTAAATATTGTAGATTTTTACTGAATGGAAAGTAAACGTTAGAAGGAAGAGTAGAAGCATTGAAATTGAGTCTCAGGGTACTGGGGGAGGTCCCAATGCAGGAAAAACTATGACACCACTTAAAGAGCAACGTCTTAGTTTAATTTCTAAAATTCACTTGGGCGATCCGACTATTAAAGAGTCCTTCCAAATGCAAGAAGAAGAAATTATTCGCGTATCATTAGGTAGGTACCTACATGTTGACTTAAGCGTCCCGAATTGCAGTGCATCAAATTTTATCGAAATATCCACAATAATGCATTTTAATTTAATTTTCAGGCCAATATTCTCCCTGTTTTAATGCACGTTCTAATAATGGTACAGGGGATATTACACTAGAAATAGTTTCAGGTAAGATATGCATCCAACTCTTCATATATTTTTTCATGTTTAAATAAAATGTTTTTAGATGGTGTAAGTTTTCCAGTTCCTCCAAGTGCAGACTTGGCAGGAACAGATAATTTAGTGGAAAACACTCAATTATCTACTTTGATGACGGAGGTATCCAAAAATAAGTTTTTTTTCTTCGGTTGTTGCACCGTCCAAAACAGACCCCAATACCACCAACAAGCCCAAAGAAACTACCCCAAAGAAGCGGAAACTACCCATGTTCGGTATTTTATTTATTAGTGTTTTGTAAATTTGTGCAATTTTTTTTTAGACCAAAAAGAAAAAGATGGAAGTAGTAAATATACTTCAGCAATATTAAAATCAGCTTGCGAAGTATACAAGGAAGGAACATTGATTGGACAAGAAATGAAGAAAAAAAAAGTAGAGACACTATTTTCAATTTCGAAATCGTTAGAAGAAACTGCAGCAACTATGAGGAAGAGAAATAAAATTGAATTAATTAGATTAAAACAAGATTATAAAAAACATTTTGGTTCTTTAGATGGTTTCGATGAGCTTAGTAATTAATAATAGTTTTTATTTTTCAAAATAGTTTATGAAATGTTGCAAATTATATAAAAAAATAATTAAAACTGATGATAGAAATGATATTGGACTTTTAGTTACTATAGGTACTTTATATAAAATAGTTTAATATATTTTCTCTTTGGCAAACGGCACCGTTTTCGACGCTGTGAGAAATTAGCTGTTACGGTCAAAATTTAGATTTTTAACGTTAGGTAACGTGCCCCGTTAAGATATACATATTACGAATTAACATACCATACCGATAACATGAATGTTAGGGCCAACGTTACTGATACATATTACGGCTGATTAATTGTAATGTTTATACCATGGACATGCAATCTGTGTTATTATGCCCTAAGTCCTATGTCTCTCTGCTTTATTACAAAACAAAGTTAATAGTGCACAATTTCACCATTTTCAATCTTAAGACAAAAGACGGCTATTGTTATCTGTGACATGAGGGACAGGCTGGCCTTACTGCCAATACATTTGCTTCAATATTGTACGGTTTTTTCCAAATGCACATCAACGAAGGGGTAGATAAAGTTATTCTCTACAGCGATGATTGCACAGCCCAAAATCGAAACGCAGTACTCTCAAGTGCCCTTTTAAAACTATCCGAAGAAATGCAGATTACAATTATAATAATAATAATAATCTTTATTTCTCAAGTCATACAAAAAATTTTACATTCCTTATGTTAAATAATATAGTAGTCACCTAATTAATACAAATATTTACAAACTGCCAGACATAATTTGTTTAATAAATATATACCGTTTCAGTTCTGCAGTTCAAGCATGCAGTTTCAGTTCTGCAATTGAACAAAAATACAGCAAATAGAAAGGGCACACGCAAATTGAGAGGAAACTAAAGAAAGAAAACCATCAATGTTCCAGCGGATTATATTGAGGTTTGTGAGTCAGCACGTCTACATCCAACGCCCTATGTTGAAGAATACCTTGATTATAGTGTTTAAAAAAATTTCGAACCCATGCAAGTTTTTAATTCGATAAGGCCGGGAAGATTATCTAGTGATCCGACTGTGACTGATATCAGGGGTCTCAAGTACAAGGATGGGTCAATAATGTTCAGGTTACGTCATTCCGAGGAATGGACGCCACTACCTTATCGCCTTAATAAAAAAGTTGCAATTCCCTACGATGAACTGCCCCAACTATACAAAGGTCCCATACCAATTAAAAAAGAAAAATATAATCACCTAATGGATATAAAAGCGTCCCTAAAGAAAGATTACCACGACTTTTATGATAACTTAGTTCATTTATAAAATTTGAATACTGTTACTTTTAATATGTCCATATTTCCAAAATATTTTAGCTACTTTTATAATACATTTTTGATCTTTAAAAAATGTTAGTTTCATTTTTTAGGTAATTGAAATTTGGCGAAGTCCCAAATTACAAGAAAAAAAAACGACGCAAATAGCCTATGTCCGTTTTTAATTAAATTATTTTTGTAAACTTAAAAACACCATTAACCCTCCGTTACACGCGCTATGAGGGAATCCCTCACAACATTGGTTTTTGTACGAGGAAATTGTTGTAGTTAATACAATAACCTTGAGCGTCCAGGTATGCCTTTGGCATCGTTTTTAAGTAAGGGGGAATGACGTTGCAGAATATTTCGAGCGATCAGTATGGCATGATCGAAGTGATAGTGTACTTGATGTGAGCGTTTTTCTCACGCGTTTTCCTCACTGCGCGTGCAATCACGTTCGTCTGTAATTTCACGTAAAATTTTGGTTTTTGTTCAAATATTTTGGTAAGTTTGTGATGTTTTACTAAAATATGATTATTAATTAATAATCATATTAATATATGATATATAATATTATTATATTTTGAAAATACTGGTATTGAAATGGCACGACGTAAATATTTAAAAAAACTTAGCCTTCGAGCTCTTCGAGCTGATTAAGCCTCATCAAATGTTACGAGCAAATATCAGAATACTCCCCGTATTGTCGAGAATGCAAATTAGGGACCATTTGGGGATTGAAGATGAAGCTGCGCCGCTGGAAGTGCAACGTGAGTCTAATAAATGTGCCTACTGTCCTAAGAGAAAAAACCGAAAGACTCATACAGAGTGCTGTAAGATGTATGTATATGTGTAAACTGTGGCCGATTTGCAAGGAGCATACAAAAACTTTGTATACTTCCTGTTAGGAAATAGAGAGAAGAATCTGAGTAGATGTATTCGTTATCTATGAAACTTTTTACGCAGATTTGTTTTTAGATTTTCGCTTTATTTTGTGTTGTGACTTGTTTGTGTATTTTAGGTAAATATTTTTTAAATGAATCCTGAAAGAATTAATATTTTACAAATAATTTCGATGAACAATTTTTCTAACCCTCGTTTCATTTTTAATTCAGACTTGATAAATATTCAAACTAATAACATGACTACACCTAACATCACTACACCAATTATTAATTTCAATCAAGAATTAGACAATTTCTTGAATGAAATTGATAATAGTGACATTATAAATACAGACAACCTTGTTACACCATTTGAAATGGAAAACATGACTACACCTAACATCACTACACCAATTATTAATTTCAATCAACAATTAGACAATTTCTTGAATGAAATTGATAATAGTGACATTATAAATACAGACAACCTTTTTACACCATTTGAAATGGAAAACTTTCCTGATTTAAACCAATTTTAACAGATGTTGAAAATAGAGATATTGATTTTAACGAAATATTTTTAGAGGAACTTACGAATGACCCTATTTCCATTTCAAAATTTGAGGAGACGTTACTACATAATAGTAAATGTAATAATTCTGTTAATAGTGATGAACATAAAGAAATTAATAATTTTGATGATGAACTAGATTTAATAATTGAATGTATTGATGACTCCAAAAATGAGAGTCAGAATAGTTCCTGTCAAAACATTTCTCCTTTTTCACCGGCACACTCTCAAAAAATAGAGTTTAGTTCCGATGAAAAAGGAGAAACGTTTAAGAATAAAATCGAAAATAGTAAACCATCCTTTATTATCAACAAAAAGAAGAAAACTTTGAAAAAGTATTTAAAACCCTGTTCAAAATTAAAAACTCTCAGCTTCGCTCAGGAACAATTTCCTAAACAAACAAACATAACAAGTGAAAATAATGCAGAACTACAATATTTAAAAAAATCTTTCGATAAGTTAGTGGATCCTTTTAATTAAATATTTACATTTTTTTTCATTTATTTTTTTAATTAAATTATATTGATACATTCTTTTTTCCAAACTTAACCTTACATATAACTGAATAAAATTTAATAATAAAACCATAAAATTATTTTCCAGTATAAAATTGAAAGATGTTTATTTGTCCATCCTGTAAAAAAAACTTTACTCGTAAAGATAACCTATCTCGGCATTTAAAGAGTGTCTGCAACAAATCTTCCTTTCTAAACAGATGGTTGACAAAGTCTACACCTGAAGAAAAAAGTAAGATTTTTTTCATTTTATGTTATAACCTTTTGAAATTAACAAAATAATTGTCTTTATAGAGAAATATTGTGAAGAATGCAAGGAGTTAATATCACAAAATTTATGGTTTGGTCATCTACGATCAAACGCACATAAAAATAATTCTAAAATAATTGAACAACCAGGAGTACAAATTATTAAATCTGCATTCAAAGAACGAATAATAACATACAGATTATCTATGGAGGAGATGATCGTAAATGTTAAAAATTACTTTATAAAATTGGAACAAAAGATTCTTCGTATATTTGAGGATCAATTAAGAAAACATACATGCATTAAAATTAATATGGAGCTTTTTGGCTATTATTATAATCCAAGTACTGATAATCATGATGTAAAATCATTCAACACTCCATTTAAAGTAATTTGTAACAGCAGTGCAATAAAGGATTTGATAGAAGAATTTGCAACAGTTATTGACAATAAGGCAGATGAGTTTGCAGAAAAAGATTCGGGTAAGTGTTTAACTTTAATCTAAAATATATATGTAATTAATTTTTATTTCTGGTTTCAGGATGGATCTTACTTAATTTTATTCATTTGGAAATTAACATCAATAAATTCAACCCTTTGAGAGCATCATCATTTATTGAACTACCTCCTGAAATAGTACGACGTCAAGCTGTAGTTAACATAAGAAATAACGATGACTACTGCTTTGCTTGGTCTATCATGGCAGCTCTTCATACTCCAACAGGTGTTGACTTTGTTACATCATCATACCCTCATTATTCAACGGTTTTGAACACTGCAGGTATTGATTTTCCAATATCATTAAAAGACATCAAGAAATTTGAAAATCAAAACAATATTTCTATTAATGTATACGGTTTAGAAAAATATTATAATAAAATTTCTAAAAATGAAGAATATGAAGTAATTGGTCCTCTACATTTCACAAATGCTAAAAAAAATATTCATGTTAATTTATTATTGATAAACGATGATGATGGAAATCTTCATTATTGCTACATTTCCGATCTTTCGAAATTAATTTCTAAACAACTTAGTAAACACAATGGTAGAAAATATTTATGTGAAGGATGTTTGCAATATTTTGACACAGAACAAAAATTACAATACCATAATAGTTATGATTGTGATCATGTTAAAATTAATTTACCTTCTAAAGAACTACTTAAAGATAAATGTGGAAATGTAGCATATGAAAATATATTAAAATTTATAAATTATCAAAAACAAATGGAAGTTCCTTTTGTGATTTATGCAGACTTTGAATGTATTTTAAAACCTTTAAATAATAATGAAAATGTAGAAGATCCAAATAGTTCATATACTGTAAAAAAATTTGAACATATTCCATACTCTTTTGCATATTATATCAAATGTTCATTTGATGATGCATATTCTAAGTTTGAAAAATATAGAGGTTTGGATAGCGAAAAAGTTTTTATAAATTCTCTAGAACAAGATGCGTTAAATTTATATCACACATTTTTAAAGACTCCTAAGAAAATGAATACTCTAACAGAATTAGAACAAACTACACATAACAATGCTAAAAACTGTCATATTTGTGATAAGCCACTTTTAGGGGATAAAGTTGCCAATCATTGTCACATTACGGGCAACTATAGAGGACCAGCTCATTCTTTGTGTAATATAAACTATAAAATTCCTAATTTTATTCCAGTTATAATGCACACCTTAGGTAATTACGACAGCCACCTATTTTTAAAGAATATGTGTTCAAATAAAGAACAACTATCAGTAATTCCCCAAAATAAAGAGAAATATATTTCTTTTAAAAAACACATTCTCGTAGATAATTATTTTGATAAACATACAAAAAATTAAAAAAAAAAGAAATTTATCATTGAGATTTATCGACTCCTTTCAATTTTTATCATTTTCTCTATCTAATTTAGCAGATACTTTGATAGATGAACAATGTAAAGAAATAAAAAAGATTTTCGAAGATGAGGAACAATTTAAACTTCTTCGTCAAAAAGGTGTATTTCCATATATTTATATTGACAGTTTTGAAAAATTAGAGGAAACTGCTTTACCTAAAAAAGATCAGTTTTTTAACAGTTTAACAGATGAACATATTACTGACGAGGAATACCAAAGACCTCTTAAAGTTTGGGATCTTTTCGAATGTGAAAGTATCGGAAATTATTCAGATATATATTTGCTATCAGATACTTTACTTTTAGCTGATATTTTCAAAAATTTTCGAAAAACATGTTTGTCAACATATAAACTAGACCCTGCACACTTTTATACATTTCCCGGTTTATCTTGGGAAGCCTGTTTACGTTATACAGGCATAGAACTGGAATTACTGATAGATCCAGATATGATACATTTTTTTAAAAATAGCGTTCGTGGTGGAGTAAGTTCATGCATAACACGGAAATCAGAGGCAAATAATCCTTTTCTATCAAAATTTGATTCAACAAAACCTAATAAGTATATAATGTACTATGATGCAACAAATTTATACGGTTTTGCAATGTCCCAATATCTGCCAACAGGGTGATTTTGTATGGTTAACCAGAAAAAAAATAAAAAATTTAGATATTTTTCAATTTCTAATACATCTAGCAAAGGTTATGTTTTAGAAGTTGATATAGAATATCTGAGCACCTTCATGACTATCACAACAGTTGATTTTCCTTTTGTCCAGAAAATTATAAACCACCTAATTCAAAATCTGCAAAATTAATACCAAATTTAAACAATAAATCAAAATATGTTATTCATTACCAATTACTAAAATAATGTTTGCAAAACGGTCTTAAGTTAACTAAAATCCATAGAGTGATACAATTTTCTCAATCTGCTTGGTTGAAAAAATTTACAGATTTAAACACAAAGTTACGTAATTAGTATAAAAATGAATTTAATCGCCACATGTACAAATTAGCAAATAATAGTATATATGGAAAAACAATGGAAAATGTGGATAGGAGAGTCGATGTAAGACTTGTTACCGAATGGGAAAAATAAAAGAAAAGATGGACTGAAAATTTAATAGCAAAGCCATATTTCAAGGACTTAACAATTTTCTCAGAAAACTTAGTCGCTATTCAAATGAAAAAAATACTAGTTACTTATAATAAACCAATATATGTTGGATTTTCTATACTAGATATTTCAAAAACTGTCATGTACGATTTTTTTTTATAATTTTTTAAAACCTTTGTATAAAGATAATGTGTCTCTTTTGTATACTGATACAGATTCTTTTATTCTGGAAGTGACAACAGAAAATGTTTACCATGATATGAATAGAAATATTCATAAATTTGACACTTCCAATTATGTACCTAATAATATGCATAATATGTCAATAACACAATCAGTGGTTGGCAAATTTAAGGATGAATATGCTGGTAAACCGATTGTAGCTTTCTATGGTACCGGAGCAAAAGCTTACTGTGTAAAAACCGAAAATGGTTTAATAAAGAAAGCCAAAGGTATAAAAAAACATGCTATTAAAAATCAGTTAGACTTTATATCCACTACAAAGATGTTGTGGAAAATAATTCTAAAATTTTTTGCTCTATGTATGTGTTTCGTTCTCGACTACATACAATTTTTACCGAATTAATACATAAAATTGCATTGAATTCCGAGGACGATAAAAGATATCAAATACCATATGACTATAAAACACTTGCTTGGGGTCATCATGATATTTCATTTTATCAGTGGAATGTTGATCATCCAGACCTCAACATATTTTTAAATAATATTTAATTTAATATTATTTCTTTAATTTAAACATTTAATATGATTCACTGTGATTGTATTTTTCATTCCTCTCCTAAATGTTTTAACTCATTAATTTAATTTATTAAATTATATAATATAAATATCATGGTAAACATTTTCTGTTGTCACTTCCAGAATAAAAGAATCTGTATCAGTATACAAAAGAGACACATTATCTTTATACAAAGGTTTTAAAAAATTATAAAAAAAATCGTACATGACAGTTCTTGAAATATCTAGTATAGAAAATCCAACATATATTGGTTTATTATAAGTAACTAGTATTTTTTTCATTTGAATAGCGACTAAGTTTTCTGAGAAAATTGTTAAGTCCTTGAAATATGGCTTTGCTATTAAATTTTCAGCTCCATCTTTTCTTTTATTTTTTCCCATTCGGTAACAAGTCTTACATCGACTCTCCTATCCACATTTTCCATTGTTTTTCCATATATACTATTATTTGCTAATTTGTACATGTGGCGATTAAATTCATTTTTATACTAATTACGTAACTTTGTGTTTAAATCTGTAAATTTTTTCAACCAAGCAGATTGAGAAAATTGTATCACTCTATGGATTTTAGTTAACTTAAGACCGTTTTGCAAACATTATTTTAGTAATTGGTAATGAATAACATATTTTGATTTATTGTTTAAATTTGGTATTAATTTTGCAGATTTTGAATTAGGTGGTTTATAATTTTCTGGACAAAAAGGAAAATCGTTGTGATAGTCATGAAGGTGCTCAGGATATTCTATATCAACTTCTAAAACATAACCTTTGCTAGATGTATTAGAAATTGAAAAAATATGTAGATTTTTTTTTTTTCGGTTGACCATACAAAATCACCTGTTGGCAGATATTGGGACATTGCAAAACCGTATAAATTTGTTGCATCATAGTACATTATATACTTATTAGGTTTTGTTGAATCAAATTTTGATAGAAAAGGATTATTTGCCTCTGATTTCCGTGTTATGCATGAACTTACTCCACCACGAACGCTATTTTTAAAAAAATGTATCATATCTGGATCTATCAGTAATTCCAGTTCTATGCCTGTATAACGTAAACAGGCTTCCCAAGATAAACCGGGAAATGTATAAAAGTGTGCAGGGTCTAGTTTATATGTTGACAAACATGTTTTTCGAAAATTTTCGAAAATATCAGCTAAAAGTAAAGTACCTGATATAACTATATGGAAATACACCTTTTTGACGAATAAGTTTAAATTGTTCCTCATCTTCGAAAATCTTTTTTATTTCTTTACATTGTTCATCTATCAAAGTATCTGCTAAATTAGATAGAGAAAATGATAAAAATTGAAAGGAGTCGATAAATCTCTATGATAAATTTCTTTTTTTTTTAATTTTTTGTATGTTTATCAAAATAATTATCTACGAGAATGTGTTTTTTAAAAGAAATATATTTCTCTTTATTTTGGGGAATTACTGATAGTTGTTCTTTATTTGAACACATATTCTTTAAAAATAGGTGGCTGTCGTAATTACGTAAGTTGTGCATTATAACTGGAATAAAATTAGGAATTTTATAGTTTATATTACACAAAGAATGAGCTGGTCCTCTATAGTTACCCGTAAGGTGACAATGATCGGCAACTTTATCCCTTAAAAGTGGCTTATCACAAATATGACAGTTTTTAGCATTGTTATGTGTAGTTTGTTCTAATCCTGTTAGAGTATTCATTTTCTTAGGAGTCTTTAAAAATGTGTGATATAAATTTAACGCATCTTGTTCTAGAGAATTTATAAAAACTTTTTCGCTATCCAAACATCTATATTTTTCAAACTTAGAATATGCATCATCAAATGAACATTTGATATAATATGCAAAAGAGTATGGAATATGTTTAAATTTTTTTACAGTATATGAACTATTTGGATCTTCTACATTTTCATTATTATTTAAAGGTTTTAAAATACATTCAAAGTCTGCATAAATCACAAAAGGAACTTCCATTTGTTTTTGATAATTTATAAATTTTAATACATTTTCATATGCCACATTTCCATATTTATCTTTAACTAATTCTTTAGAAGGTAAATTAATTTTAACATGATCACAATCATAACTATTATGGTATTGTAATTTTTGTTCTGTATCAAAATATTGCAAACATCCTTCACATAAATATTTTCTACCATTGTGTTTACTAAGTTGTTTAGAAATTAATTTAGAAAGATCGGAAATGTAGCAATAATGAAGATTTCCATCATCATCGTTTATCAATAATAAATTATATTAATTTAAACATTTAATATGATTCACTGTGATTGTATTTTTCATTCCTCTCCTAAATGTTTTAACTCATTAATTTAATAAATTAAATTAATGAGTTAAAACAAATATATTTATTAATATTAATTTATTATTCCCTTCAGAATGTTTTAAACTTATCATAATTTATACATATTAGTTATAGAGTTATCAAATTATAATTAATTATATATAGGAACAATTTATATTTCATGTATTTTAGTTTTACATGTTAAATGGTAATAACCTATTTAGAATGTAGTGACTAATATAATTATTTTATATGGTAGATAAGTTTTTATTTTAATTAAAAATATACTTTTGTATTGATAATGCATTTTAATGAAAAATATACCTACTTATAAATACATGTTTTGAAAATATTTCATTTCTTATTAAACCTTCTTAAGATGTGTTTGGAAAGTTTTGATAAAGATATTGATGATGTTACTTATAAAATCTATGAAAATCGACTTTCTACTTTTAAAAACTGGAATGGAAAATTGGAACCTGAGGTATTAGCAGGAGCAGGCTTTTATTATATTTCATATAGTGACGTATGCAAATGTTACTATTGTGGAACTGAAATTTATGAATGGAACTATGATGACTGTCCTATAGAAGAGCATCACAAAATTTCTCCATTATGTAATTTAAATGAATGTCTATGGTTAAGCCAAAACAAAAAAAATAAGAAAGAAAATTTCAAAAAAATCTAATAATTCACTGGAACGTGTAATTTTGATGATATTATTATTCATTAATTTACATCTTTTTTTCAACATATATTTCTTATGCTAATAAGTATTTATATTCTTCTATAGAAAAGATATTGTCAAATATCATTTGGTAATCATCTTGAATGGAAGTAAATTCTAGATAAATAAATTTTTTAATAAAATATTTACATTCTTTCAATGGCTCATCAAACCCATTTTATTCTCCTTTATTTCATATTTCAAAATGTTATTTATGTTCATTATCCCCCCACTGTAACCCGATGTGAAATATGTTTTTCGAATGAAACAAACATTACACTTGATAAAAATTGTCAGTTTATGAAAGTTGATTTAATCAATAATAATACGCTTAGTTTTATATATCCCATCAACAAAGGAGAAAATGTTAGTAGGTTTTTTAAAATTTTATATCATTATTCAAACCAAACCATTTTTGATACCAATTGGATTGAAAGATCCGAATTAAAATATACACATTTTCAAAATGAATCTTTCAACTATACTAAATTTATTAATGAAAAAAATAATAGATATAACATTTTTAATATCGTTAATCTCTTTTTAACTTTTACAATATTTTTGTATATTACAATTTTAATTATCTTTTTTTATTATAAATTTCAAACAGGAAATTTACACTTTCAATAATCAATTTCATTTAAAATATTGTTTCGAATAGACAATAAGCAATGCGCATGAGTTGACGATATCAATAGGTGGGGGTATAAATTAGTAGGGGTTCGAATATTAAAGTAAGAAGAGAACTTAATATTATTTAGTTCATTCACCATGTCTTCTAAAAACTTTGAAAATCTATTAAATTCAAAAATTTTCTTTTTGAATAAATCTTCATCAAAATTTGTTATTGTTGGTATAAGTAATCAAGATTTTTCACCGAAAATTATAATCGGTGGAAAAAATGGTTTTTCTATAACTCTAAGTGAAGAAAATTGGAATAGTTTTTGCAATCATCGAGGAAATTACTTCTGCATTCCCCAGCAAATTAACGAACCCATGTTGAATATAGACAACTTTAAATTATATTGTTACGGATTCCGTGGGTCCACTAATTTAAACTCACGATAAAATACTTAACGAATTTATTTTCTCACTTTATACACAATTACTAACTTATAACACACAACAACTAACTATTTATAAGATTCCTTCACCAAATTGTCCGATTTTCAATTTCCACGCGGTATATTCAAATTTCAAAAACTGTCTCAGTTGTCGATGGCTCCGGCTTATATACTCTATTGACTGCTTCTCGAAATTTCCCCAATTCTCGAAGCGTACTTCTTCATACCAGACAATTCTATTGTCTGATTCATACTTCTCGACTTGACTAAAAGATGGCGCCTGAAAAAAGTCTTTTAATTTCTGGCGGATACGTTGCGGTTGTGCAGGCAACCAGTAATACATTTTAATTTCTGGCGGATGCGCCATTTTTTCTTGACATTGCCCCTTCTCCGAATTTGATCGTCCCGATCAAGGTTTCCTAACTCTGGTATCTCTTCAATAGTCCAGATGAACTACTTTCATCTTACTTCTAGGGCTGCGTTGAATCCGGTACACAACATCATTTATCCTCTTGATGACTGTATAAGGACCTTCCCATGCTGGAGTTAACTTTGGGGACCTCCCTTTCTTGCGCTGTGGGTTATATAACCATACCATATCGTCCTGTTGAAATCCCGTAGAATTGGCTCTGAGGTCGTAACGAGCTTTCATCCGGTCACTGGCTAGCGTAATCTTACTTCTTACGGCCTTATGAATTTCCATTAACCTTTCCTTCAGTTCATCCGCGTAGTCCTCTACATTTGTGGTGCCGTCGTCTGGTGATCCGAACACCAAGTCACAAGGCAACCGTAATTCTCGACCAAATAAAATCTTCGATGGTGAAAGTCCGGTGGTGTTGTGAACTGCACTTCTATACGCCATTAGGAACAGCGGTATGTGTTGATCCCAATCTCTTTGATGTTCGGCCACCATTTTCGAGAGGTGTTCTTCAATGGTCTTATTGAATCTTTCGACCATCCCATCAGACTGCGGATGTAAAGCTGTTGTCCTAGTCTTGTGAATACCAAGCAGATCACACATCTTCTGGAACAGTCTTGACTCGAAGTTCCTTCCTTGGTCAGTGTGAAGCTCTAAGGGAATTCCAAATCTACTGAAGACATTATTGACCAATACTTCAGCTACAGTCGATGCTTCTTGGTTTGGAATGGCAAAAACTTCTGGCCATTTACTGAAATAATCCATCGCTACTAAAACGTACTTGTTGCCCTTGTGCGTTTCAGGGAATGGGCCTGCAATGTCAACAGCGATTCTTTCGAATGGCAGTCCAACGTTATATTGTTTCATTTTTCCCCTAGAGCGAGTGCTTGGTCCTTGGCTGGCTGCACAAGTTTTCATTGTCGACACCATTTCTTGACATCTTCGCAATAATCCACCCAGTAAAAACGATCTCTCAGCTTGCTCAAGGTCTTGTTTACCCCAAGATGGGCTCCAGTTTTACCACCGTGAATTTCTTCCAATACCTGGGTAACTTTCTTCCTTGGTACCAGTAACTGAGTTGTTACTGTCCTGCCATCCGCACTTTCCCACATGCGCTTTAACAATCCATTCTCAATAACCAGTGAATTCCACTGAGCCCAGAGAGCTTTGAAAACTAGCCCTCTGTCCGCAATATCCTGCCACGGTGGTCTCTCGCCGTTACCTTCCTTGAGCCCTAGTATTGCTCCGATGTCTGGATCTTCCATTTGGTCTTTCCTCAACTGTGCCGTCGTCCACTGTTCATCAGCTCCAAGCTTAAAACTCCTTATCATGACAGTGCCTTCACGTTGTTCCGTTTTACAGCAGTGCTTACAATCGGTTTGACAGGGTCTTCTGGATAAACCGTCTGCGTTACCATGCATCTTCCCAGCACGATGTTGGATGGTAAAGTGATACTGCTGGAGCTTCTCGAGCCATCGTGCTATTTGGCCTTCAGGTTGTTTCATCTCCATAAGCCATTTGAGAGCCGCATGATCTGTCCTAATTAAAAA